AGCACAGTGGTAGTGGCTTCCCTACTATGGAAGAGATCGTGAGTTCTATTCCCACAAGGGCAGGAATCCTAACTGTAAAGAGGAGGGAAAAGAGAGAACAGAGTCTGAGAAAATATTCCATGATCCATGCTAACTCTATCAGATACTCCAGAACTCTGACAGAATGCTGAGTCTTTATCATGGCATACCTATGTAATAGGGATTAACAAGAAATCGAAGGTTTTTTTTTTTTTTTTGAAGGAAAGTGCCAGGTAGTTATCAATGGACACACAAATTCAAAACCACCAGGAGGGGTCTATAATGACCACACAACTATGTTCTAATTTTACAGTTTCGGGGCAAGTATGAAGGTTTGCATAAATTCAAGTCAGAATATCACCCACAATGCTAAGAATGAGAAGGACCCTGAGGGACCCCAATCCAGTACACTTATAATCCTAGAGAATGCTAAGGACACCATGTGCTCCCTTTAACTTTCTACGACTCTTATGTTTTCTCCCCGGAAGGGTTCCCACTCTTAACCGAGGCTTTAASTCCTGCACTAGGCCATACACTTATTACACCAGCCAGCAGAACTTCTGTCCCCGACGACTACCCGCAACTCCCCTTTCTCCCCACTCCCAGTTGGCTAAACCCTGACTTCCCGCCCGTCTGGGCACCTCAGCAGCTCTACTGCCCCTCCGGCTCCTACCAAAATCAGCGCCTCCATCTTGCCCCGCAGCTGGTGCCGACGTGGAGCCGCAAAAGCAACGCCGCCGTTGATTGGTCCTGAGTCCTCAAGAAACCCCGCCCAGTAGGGAGATCATTGGATAAGGAAAATCCAGCCCCTGCTGCATTGACCAATAACTGTACCCTCTTGCAAAGCGGAAGCAGGGTATCCAAACAGAAGGCGTAGGTATTTGATTGTCAGCTTGAACACTCAATAAAACACCAAAACCTCACAACAGAACGGGGTGGGAAGGTCAGTGGGCGGGGTTGTTTCCATGGGGAATAGAGGAAGCGATTGTTAATTTTCAATTGGTAGAGCGGAGAGCACGTGATATTGTCCTCCTGACTTTTAATCCGCACTCCCTTTAGGGGGCGCAATGTTCTCTTAGCCTTTAACACCGATCTTTCCCTACCCTAATCCCTATTCCCAGCGCCCCCCATAGGTTCTCCCTGATGTTTACGGTGCTTTGGCCTAAACAGCTAGCTCTCCCCTCAYGTCAGCTCAGATTCCTTAAATATCCTCACTGAAAATCTGCACGATCTTGCAGTTAGAGCCAAAAGATGTTCCAACACGTTAACCGTATAAATCAAGGCCTCTAGGAATTGATTGCCACAGTAACAACCTCCCCAAGGTGGAGTCCCGGACCTTGCTAGGTCCAGGAATAGGCAAGAAGCCAGTGAATTTCTGAAAGCGGATTTTCTTTGAYTCAAGTGAAACAGGATGTTAGAGTTTTGGAGACGAGAAGGGAGAAAAGGAGAGGCCCAGGGGTGAAGGGATCAGAGTAGGTATACTCTGAGGGTATAGAGTATAGGGGCTGCGGTTTTCCAGAAGGGACAAGACGTTGCAAAATGAGAAAAGAGAAGTTTACCGAATGCTAGGATTGCACAATAAGGAAGGCTTTTAATGAAGTTTGACTTTCCCCGTACCTCACTAGTATTAAAAAAAAAAAAAAAAAAAAAAAAATCAGTGGGGGAGCCAGCCACAGTGGCACGCAGCTGTAATCCCAATGTTTTAGGAGATAGAGGGAGAAGGATCAATTCAAGGCCAGCCTGGACAGTTAAGCGAGATCTTATCTC